TGCCGCCCCCCGCAGCCCCGGGCCGTGCCGGCTGCCGCGCGCCGCCGTGTCCCCGCTTTCTGCTCGGGTCACTCCGCAAAGCGCCGTGCCCCGTGGCAGCAGCGGGCGAGCCCGGCCTGTAGCGGCAGCCGCTGCGGTAGTCACGGCGTGTCCCGGCCGCACGCGGCTGCGCCAGGTGTCGTGGGGGTAATGGCGGTTCCCGGCGTGGAGCCCCGTCGGGCAGGCGGGAGCAGTCCCGCTCTGCAGAGCTGGAAGCGCTGTGCTGCCAGTGCCGCTGTCCGGTGGGACAGGGTGGTCCGGCTGCCTGGTTGAAGCGTCCCCACACTGGGGACATGGGTTGGTGCTATTCCATCTCCCCCCAGCCGCACGCGGCTGTGCAGCTCTCGTTCCCTTGGCGTGGGGTGGCAGTGGTGGCCTTGTGTTTCAGGTGTGCCGTGCATGTGCAGCGTTGTTGCTTCATTAGCGTCGCTCATTAAACACCAGCAGGACGGGTGCGCACTGGAGCGCTGCCCGCTCCAGCCGGCGGCGACCTTGTCCCACTGGGCAGTGGTGGGTCCCGGCGCTGGGCTGTCCCGTGTCCCAACGCGGGGCCAACAGGCACCTGGGGAGGGGCGGGTAACCCCTGCCCATAAGTAGCCTGTCCTCGTGACAGGATCTGGCGCTGCCGGCACGTCCCCGCGGCACCATGGCAGAGATGCTGCCGGCGTGGGTGACCAATGGCACCGCCGAGGAGACTGAGCCCGACGGGGTGGGTCAGAGTGCAGCGGGCTCTGGGTAGTCTGGCCCCGCAAGGCTGCTGTGATGGGCACTATCCCGACTACCCTGGGCGTCTTTCCAGGATGCAATCCGGATGCTCAACACCCTGCAGACCAATGCCAGCTACCTGGAACAGGTGAAGCGGGAGCGCGGTGACCCCCAGGCCCAGCTGGAAGCCATGCAGGGCTTTTTGGAGAGGAGCGGACTGAAGGTGAAGGGCTGAGCCCCGTCCCTGTTCCCTCTGTCCTGTTAGCAGTGCCGCCATGCTTGGCGCTGGCTGCCATGGGGGTCTCACAGGGTGGTTGAACTCTTACAGGTCGAGGACCTGGATCGACTGAACATCATCCACGTCACGGGGACGAAGGGCAAGGTGAGGCGGGTGGGCGGTGCTGTGGGGGGATTGAGGGGCTGAGGAGACTGCTGCAGTCTGTGGCTCTGTTTGCCCCTGCTCTGGAACAGGAGGATTAACACGGCTGTCTCCTCAGGGCTCAGCGTGTGCCTTCACTGAGTGCATCCTCCGCAACTACGGGCTGAAGACGGGCTTTTACAGGTGGGCAGGGGGGTCAGGAGGGTTTTGAAGGGCCGGTGGAGCTGTGCCTAACTCTTCCCTCTGCTCTGTACCCCCAGCTCCCCTCACCTCGTGCAGGTCCGTGAGCGGATCCGCATCAATGGGCAGCCCATCAGCAAGGACCTCTTCAACAAGTACTTCTGGCTGGTCTACAACCGCCTGGAGGAGACCAAGGTGGGGCCAGCAGGGTTTGTGGAGGTGCTCCCTCCCTTGGGTCCCCTGTTCCCAGGGTCCTGTGCACACCCTCACCCTTCTCTGCCTGGCAGGACCCAGCACACTCCAGCATGCCGGCGTATTTCCGCTTCCTCACCATCATGGCCTTTCACGTCTTCCTGCAGGAGAAGGTCAGTGGTGTTGGCTTCCAGCTGGTGACAGAAATGTCAGGTTGTTGGGGACCTCAGGGAGGGGGGACTTGGGGCAGAACTTGTGTGGATCAGGCTGTCATGGCTGTAAATAGAGGATGCTGTGCCACGTGGATGATCTCCCCACAAATGTGTGCTCAGGTGTGGGTTTGGAAGGGCTGGTGGCAGGGACCTGTCTCCACCCACATCCTGGAATCCATGGGGACATATGCTGATAGCTCCAGTATCCCTGTGTCCCCAGGTGGACCTGGCAGTGGTGGAAGTTGGCATTGGTGGCACCTATGACTGCACCAACATCGTCAGGTAGGAGCTGGCAGGGCTGAGCCTGTCTCCAGGGCTGCCAGGGCTTGATGTCCCCATAGTGGAGGGGGGAACAGCAGGGACACTGCCATGCTGCATCCCCAGGGCACCGGTGGTGTGTGGGGTCTCCTCCCTGGGCATCGACCACACCAGCATCCTGGGGGACACCATGGAGAAGATCGCCTGGCAGAAGGGGGGCATTTTTAAGGTAGGGAGATCTGCTCTCTCCTCTTGTGCTTTCGGGGTGTGTTCCACATGCCCCTGAGCACCCATGTCACCCATGTTCCCATGTCACTGAGCACCCCCATCCTTCCCAGCCCGGTGTGCCGGCGTTCACTGTGGTGCAGCCAGAGCGGCCACTGGAGGTGCTGAGGAAGCGAGCCCAGGAGCGGAAGGTGAGTTGCTGCTGGAGGTTTGGATGGGGGGTACCCCATGGCGGGGGGCTCAGCCTCCTCCTCTCTCTGCAGTGTTCCCTCTACCTCTGCCCGGAGCTGGATGACTTCGAGGAGGGCTGCCAGGCGCTGGAGCTGGGGCTGGCCGGTGCCCACCAGCGCTCCAATGCCGCCCTGGCCTTGCAGCTGGCGCGGACGTGGCTGCAGCGCCGTGGCTACCAGGGTAAGGCAGGGGGACGGTCACAGGGGGCCGGCCAGACACCACCAGGGCTCCTGAGGCCTCAGTGGGATGCCTGTCCTGCCTAGGTCTTGGGAAGCTGAAGGAGGTGCCGCCAAGCAGCGAGCTGCTGGGGAGGTCAGTGCCACTGGCGCCCGCCTTCCGACTGACCGATGCCATGATCCAAGGTGCAGTATGGCCATGCCAGCACCACCCCTCACCATGTCACAGGGCTTAGCAGGGCCATGCTGGACCCCAGCCAGTGCCATGTGTGCTGGAGGGCACAGTCTGCCCCATACTGGATTCCACAGGGTCAGGGAGGGTATGGGGTCCCAGTCATGCCCTGTGTTCCCCCAGGCCTGCGGGACACAGAGTGGCTGGGCCGGACTCAGGTGCTGTCCCACGGCCCTGTGACGTGGTACTTGGATGGAGCTCACACCACCAGCAGCATCCAGGCCTGCGTCCGCTGGTTCCGCCAGGCTGCCCTCAACCAGGACAAGCCCCATGAGTAAGGAGAGGATGCAGAGGGGGGCACACATTGTGGTGGTGGTGCTGGAGGTTCCCTGAGGGCATGGGCCACCTGCCCTTTCTCCCTGCAGTGGTTCTGAGGTGCGTGTGCTGCTCTTCAATGCCACAGGCGACCGGGACACGGCGGCGCTGCTCAAGCTGCTGGTGGTGAGGTTTAGGGGGTCACGGGGCGGGTCACTGTGCCCAGATGCCTGGGTTCTCTGCCAGTCCTGGGGCCTGCTTTGTTGTGGGTGCAGGGAGCCGTGAGGAGGAGCTGGCACCCTGTCTGTTTGTCTGTCTGCCCATCCTGCTATCCCAGGGTGTATCCCACCTCAGCTGCTCCCTGCAAGGGTCTCGTGGTCCTGGTTGTGGGGAAGGGACTTGGATCATCCCCTGCCCCATCTTCTGTAACCCCGCTGGTGTGAGACTGGACCCAGTGGAAATCCCATGGGTGGGTCCTGAGAGTTCCCACAGTGCTAATTCCTCCTGTCTCCACAGCCCTGTCACTTTGACTATGCTGTTTTCTGCCCCAACTTCACGGAGGTATCGTTGGCCAACAACGCAGGTGAATGCTGGGGAGACAGGGCATTCTCCAGCTCCCCATCCTTATTCCTCCCCAGCTCCCCCTGCAATCCCTGACTGCTCTCCCCATCCCTCCCAGACCAGCAAAACTTCAACGTGACGCTGGAGAATGCCCTGACCCGCTGCCTGGAGAACCAGCAGACATGGACAAGGCTCCTGGAGGAGAAAGTGGGGCAGGACCCCTGGCTCCCATCTCCCCCGCGGGTGGGGGGGCTGCTGCAGCCGACCCCCGCCCGAGGCTCCCTGCTTCTGGTGCCCCCAGCCCCACGACCCCTCAATTCCCCAGCCCTCGTGTTCCCGTGCCTTGCCCAGGCACTGCGGTGGGTAGCACAGGGCCGAGACCCCCATCTGGCAGCCCCCGTGGCCTCGGGGGCTCACCCTCACCCCGCAGCCAGCAGCGGGGCCGTGCTGCTGCGGGAGGCAGCTGCTGTCCATGTCCTGGTCACCGGCAGCCTGCACTTGGTGGGGGGGGCCCTGCGGCTGCTCGTCCCCGCCCTGTCCCAGTAACGGCGGCACAGGGCTTTGCACCTCTGTTTACTTGAAGCAACAGTTTTGCCCCCGGTGATGCTCGGAGGCATCTAGAGGGGGATGTGGGACACCCTGCCCCATCCTGGCTTGGCTGTTTTCACCCCAGTGCCTTTTGCCTGTGCCCTTCCCAGGACACTGGGAAGCGTCCATGGGGGGATGCTCCTGGTTTCCATCCCCTCCCTGCTGAGACTGACTGAGGGGACCCCCAGGGTTTGGGGGGCTGCCCCAGGCTGTGATGAGGTCCCAGTGCCTGGTAGGTGGGAGCCTCAAGCTGTGGCAAGGCTCAGCATCAGGGCACAATTAATTTAATATAGGGAAGGTTTTTATTATTATTGATAAAAGTTTGTAACTTGGACGGGGGAGCTGGGGGGAGTGGTGGGTTCTGCCCATCATCCTGTGGGAGGGCAGCTGCCTTGCACCATCCTCCGCAAATAAACCTCTTGCTGCTCCCACTGGTGCCTGCTGCCTTCTTGGGGGGATGCAGGAGGAGTATGGGGGTCACCCCAAGTGCTGGGGCATGTCCAGGGGGCACCCACTTCTTCTTCCCCCCCCATTTGATGGGGAGCCTTGTGGGAGGTTTTGGCAATAGCTGCTCTTTCTGCCTCCCCACTGCAGCGGGGGATCCCGGGGGGGTTGCAGGGTGCCCCCCCCCGGTGTGGGCTGCCCTCGGGGGGCCAAAGCATTCACTGAATGAGTAATGGAGGCCCCCTCTGGGCTCGGCCTGAGATTTGGGGCAAAATATCAGCTTAATGGCACTGGGGTGAGTCCCCAAGTCCGTTGGCCGGGGGCTGCGCGGGCTCGGGGGGGCCCGGGGGTGTCAGGCCATGCTGCTGGTGGAGCAGGGGGTGCTCTGGGTGCTGCCGATGCTGTGGTTGGTGCTGCTGCTCTCCGAGGCTGGCGCCGTGCTGGAAACCGGCTGCAGTTTGGAGATGGGACCTGGCTCACACCGCCCGCCACGGGGGAACACCAAGGGGAAACCAGACTCAGGGCGAACAGCTGTGGCCTTGGCTCGGTCCCCTGGCACCTTCCAGCCCTCATGCACAAACCCTCACGGATCAACCCCCAGCTAGCCCATGGGATGGAGATGAGTATGGGGCACCAGGGGCAGGAGGGAGGGCAGATGGCAGAGGGACCCCCAGACAAGTAGGAGGGACCCTGAGGAGCTGTAGACACCTGAATCAGGGTCATTCCCCTATAGCATTGCCAGGACTGTACAGATGAGGGCAATGGAGCAGCCTGCTCTCTGGCTCACCTGGGGACTTTGCCCAGGAAGGAAAAGCGGGCAACCCAGTAAGAGACACGCATGTGGCCTCCCCATCCCACCACGGGGGTCCTAGGGGTGGTGGATACTCACGGGTGTGTGAGTAGATGTACCAGAGCCCGGCAGTGAGGAGTGCTCCGATGAGGAAGGCGCCAAAGGTGATGCCCAGGACAGCGGCCAGCCCTAGCCCACGGTCTGTGGGAGGAGGAGGCCGTCAGCACTGCCACACTGGGAGGGTCCCTTTCCCACCCCCATTCCCATGTTGACCACCTCCCTTGCCCTGAACTTACAGTTGAGTGCCCGCCAGGCATCCTTCACTGTCACCTTCAGGTCCTTCTCAAAGATGGTGTCATTCTGCAGAGGTGGAAGTTGGGATGAGAGGGGGAAGATGTGCACCCCTGCATGGGGGGCCCCCAGGCTCTCTGTGGACCAGGGAATGCTGCTCCTGGCTGGGCTCCATCACCCAACGGTGTGGGACAAACCCATCAGGCTGCTACCGCCGATGGGGACCAGCACAGGGTGGGGAGGTGGTTACACTGACCTGCAAGCCGGCCTTGCACGTCAGGGTGGCAGAGAAGGGCATGTGTCCGCCCTCAGGAATGGTGTAGGTGAAGCGGAAGCGCCAGACCTTCCTCCCGTGGGTGCCGGTGGGGCTCTCCAGCACAGCCACCCCCGCACCACGAGCCTCCCCGCCCTGCACCAGCAGCACTGGCTCCCGCCCGGAGGCCGCCAGCCAGCACTCCTTCAGCTGCAGGTCAGCTGGGTGATCCATCCACCGCATGGATGCCTGCAACGGGTGGGAATGGGGCACACCATCACTGTCTCTGGCCCAGGGATGGCTGGACTACCCAGCCTGGGCACTGGGATAGCGGCAGTACCTGCACAAAGGCCTCCTTGTTGATCTCCAGCTCGGTCTGTGGTGCTTTGAAGTCAGCGGTGGGGAAAAGACGCAGGAAGAGCTCCCGTGGGATCTCGCACTGGAAGCCAACCTGCAAGGGGGGGGCAGCACTAAGGGAGCACCTAGCACCCAGCTCCCAGCTGACAGTGACATTTGCACCTTCTCCCAGCCCTGGACATGCTGGGAAATCCGGCTCTTACCCGCACACTCTGGAGCACTGCATCCTTGGGCAGGCTGAGGATGAGCTGCGAGGAAACAGCAAAGTTGGGTCAGTCAGGTGGTCCCCACTGCTGGAGTCTGGGATGGGATGGGATGGGATGGGATGGGATGGGATGGGATGGGATGGGATGGGATGGGATGGTCCCACCCACACACTCCCCCTCCATCCCAGCCCTGGGCTGCAGTATGATGTTTCCAGCCATGCAAAAGCAAGGAGGTCCTGGTGGAGAAGCTCCACTGGCAATCACTGAAGCTCTCATGGGCTGGAGGCAACACCCCCAGCCAGCCCTCCCCCTCTCACCTCATTGTTGGCATAGCCCCTGCCCTCCAGTGAGGTGCCACAGTGGCTGAGGGGGCTTTTCAACATGAAGTGGGTGGCATTTTTCTCTGCCTGGCAGCTGATGTCCCTCAGGGTAATGTTCACCACATCCTTGATGGGCTGAGAAGAAAGCACACTGTAGTCACCCACTGACTGGGGACAGCCCTGTGCCACCCACCCTGAGCACCCAGAGGAAAATGCAACTTCTGAGTGATTTTGGTGGACGTTGGCATCCCTCTCCACCTTCCTTACCCCCAGGTGGGACCTGACGATGACGATCTCCATGGTTTCATCTGTGCACTTCCAGGGCTTGAGGGTGAACAGCACCTGGTGGGGCAAGTCTAGGGACTTTGAGGTGACAAGAGGGGTGGTCGTCACAGGCGTCTCAACCATCTCTGCAGGACAGGGAGATGGGAAGGCTGAGTGGGAGTGGTGGAACACCCCATCCCACCCAGCCCTGGGGTGTTGGGGGCCTCACCATGCCCATGAATTTCCAGGCTGATGTGGGTGCTGGCAGGGATGGCGGAGTAGGAGGCAATAACACTGTAGTTCTTCTCAAAAGCTTTAGCAATGAGGTCCTGCTCCGTGTCAGGCAGGAGATGCCCATGGACCAGCACTGAGGAAAAGATCTTGTAATTTCCAGAGACCTGCAGTGAAGAGGAAAGTGGGGGGGCTAAGTGGAGACAAGGACAGCTGGGGGTGCACAAGGCAGGGTTCATCCCAGTAATGAGGGCTTGCAGCAAGGAGGCTGCCACTTCCCCGTGTCTAATGTCTCCAGGTGCCCTCTTGCCACCTTTCCCCTGACACCAGCATCTCCTGGGCACCTGGCAGACCCCTTGGTGGGGGTGGTGGGAAGACATTCCTCTCAGCATACCAGTAACTGGATGTTGCACATCAAGGAGAGGGACCAGGTGAAGTTGACCTTGCTCTGCAGGATGAGCATCTGGTTGACAGAATTCTGAGGACAAGTCAGAGTCAGGTTCACCTCTGTGATGGGGGAGCTGCAAAACCACAAGATCCCCCTTCTCAGCATTCCATACCAACTGGTCCCACATCCAACTTGGGATGTGGGACTCTGCCTTTGAGACACCCCAACACCTTCCCAAGCATCTCCATATCCCACTGCCTGTCCCACCCCAGGGGTCCCACTGCTGGCACTGTGGTACCTGGGCTCTGGCTGCAGATGGATGATGTGAGCAGCCCTGGTGTTCTGGGCGTCACTGCGTGAGCAGCCCTTCACCCCGTGGAAGAAGACCTCAGTCTCAAGGTGCAGAATGGCATTGAAGTGCTCTTGGGGAATGCAGTCTGGAGGACTGTGGGCATCTGTGCAAGTGGCAGGGTCATCAGAGTCAAAGTGGGCTCAGTGGGTAGGGAGATGCTCAAGGGCAAGGAGCATCAGTCCCCACGGCATCTCCCTGGGGAAGGCACTTTGCCCCAGGAGGTTGTCACCCTTCTGGAACAGGAAGACCATTCCTGCCCACTCCAGTCCCCCAGTGCTAGCCCCCAGCCCCACGCACCTTCTCCCAGGTAGAGCTGGACCTTGCGGGGGTCCTGCAGCTCGCTGTAGGATGTGATGCCCCCATAGGTATCCAGAACCCAGGCTAGCAGCTGCCCCTCGCTGGAGACCACGGGTGGCTCAGGGTTTGGTGCTCTGATGGTCTCCGGGCTGAGGTGGGCGTCCTGTGGGCAAAGTGACAGCCTAAGCTGGGGTGAGGGGCAAGGCCCATCCCTCCCTTACACAGGCTGGCATGGGGAAAGCAAGGAAAACCTTTCCTCTCAGTGTGCAGGATACAAACGTGAGCCTAAAACAGGTGAGTGTCCCTGGAGCCTGGGCTGGGGGTCAGCCTGGATGAATGGGAGTTTTTGGGGCCATGAGCTGGGAGCAGCGAGAGTGGCCGGTGGCACACGGAGGGCTCAGCCCACTTTATTATTAGCCACAAACAAAGCAGGAGGTTTATTTTGCTAACAAAGCGCCCGACCCCGGCTCAGCTCGCTGGAGCCAAACCCCATCCCTGACCTTCCTCCTGCCGGCCGGAGGAAATGGGAGCTTTTTCCAGCCCTGTGCGTCATTCCCTGCCTGGCCAGCCCAGTGCTCAGCACCGCCAGCAATGATCAGGAGCGTCCCCTCCTCCCTGAGGCACCACAAGCATCATGTCTGGTGATCAGGGGGACCAGCCTCTACCAGAGATCCCTTTAAACATCCCCATGGATGGCCCTAGCCCTGCTGCCCCCCAGGATTGTTCCCATTGTGGGGCTGTGGCACTCACGGTGTGGATGATCAGGTCTGAGCACGGGGAGGTGATGTTGGCAGAGCAGCGGGAGCAGAGGAGGATGAGCACTGTTGGCCGGCTGCAGGCATCGGCTCGTGGAGTGACTGTCACCACCAGAGGGGCAGAAGAGTCCTGGGGTAGAAGACGAGAGTGTCACCACTGTGGCCACCAACCCCAGCTGCTGTCACCTTCCTGACTGCCCCCTGCAGCCAGAGGGAGCAGGGAGAGACCTCAGGCTGGCCCTGAGGATGAGCCATGGAAGAAGCAGCCATGGGTGGGGCAGGGATTCCGCATGAGTGTGTACCTACACCAGTGGGACAAACACTCCCTGGCTCCCCTAAGCAAAGGAGCAGCAGTATGCCAACCTGGCAGATGGTGGTATCCCCACACTGGTGTCCAGGACACCCCACCTAGCAGGGTCTAGGCACCCCCTTCTTAGGGACCAAGGCATCCTTGAGTTAGAGACTAAGAAATCTCTGCACTGAGTAAGAGAGTGCCACCCCACTGTGGTCTGGGGTAACCCCACACTGAGAACTGGAGCATCCCTACAATGGGCCACGGCATCCCCACCCTGGGCACCAGAGCATCCTCACTGCAGGTACTGGGATATCTCCCACTGAAAACTGGAGAATCCACATCTTGGGCACTGGGATATCTCCCTGGAAGGTTTCCCAGCCCCATCCCAGCACTGTGCAGCCGCTCCAGGATCAGGTGTGTCCGTACTGGTGTGCAAGGACGCCTGGGCACAGTGGTGTGCCCACACACCATTCCTCGTGGCTAGCACCGCCTGGTTGCCTCTAACCGGAAATCCGGATGGGGAAGTCAAAACTCCAGGTGCTAAATTTGGCAACTGCTGCCCGAATAATGACTTGAAAAGTTCTGAGCCAGGCAGCAGGCAGGGAAAACCAGCTGGGGACTGGGTGGGTGGAGGCTGGTGCCAGTGAGGCCGTGGGCATCCCGGCCTGGCCATGGCCCCGTGGCAAGCGTGGGTGGCCAGGGACCCCGGGTGGCCCCGAGTGTCGGGGAGGAGCTGGCGGCTGTTTTTCCTGCCGCGTGTTTTGTGGCGCTCCATTGTTTGGCTGCGCGAGTGGCGGGAGCCTCGGCGCTCCCCGCCGCCGCCTTTAGGGTTATTTTTTTATTTTTCTTCTCTTTTTTTTTTTTTTTTTTTTTTCATCGTGGGGATCTGCTTATAGAAAGCAGCTTCCAGTAATTCTTCTATAAGTGGAGCCGTGTCCCTGCCCAGCTTCCCCCGAGCGCCGCGGGGCTCAGTGCGGCAGCCGTGACATCAGTGCGTGTCCCCTATCGCCGCTGGTGACAACCCTGGGGCACCCCTGGCCCTGGCACTTATCCAGGATGCCACGGCCAGGTCACACAAGGCTAGGCCAGAGGGGTCCTTGCAAAACCCACCCTCCCCGGCGCCTTGTTGCCTGGCTCCCCCTCTGCTCCAAAAGCAGAACTGGGAGAGCTGGGAGGTGGCAGGGAGGGGGGAGTGTGGCGCCGGGTGGCCCAGGGCTGGGCCAAAATCGGGTGCTGGGCCCCAGCCAGGGCAAGGGAAGCCAGGCTGTCCTGCAGAGCTGCCATGCAAACTTGTTTGCTGGTGCAAACCCACCACCACAGCCAGCACCAGCACCAGCCCTGACACCGCCCTCACCACCCTTGCCCCAAAGCACCCACAGTGTGGTTATCACTTCTCAGCATGGCCGTGCCAACATTGGCAGACAGGTTGCTGCTCGCTTGGACACCTTAATGTGTCCTCTTTCATCCCTCCACTCTTTCCTCCATCCTTCCCTTCAAACCTCATTCCCGCTCTTCCTCCATCCTTTCCTCCACTCTACCTTCCATCCTTCCCTCCCTCCCCAGTTTGGTCACCACTGGGTACCCGTGGCTCTGCCCAGCTCCTGAACCAGAACCAGGCCACCTTCCCAAGGAAATGGAGTGTCCTGAGGTGTCCAGCACAGGAATATCTGCCTTGGCAGCATGGGCTATTGAAGAATTTGCCTCTAATGTAAATGTAAATGTGAAGTCTTTACATTCCCATCAAGGGCAGAAATGTCCAAGGCTGGGCTTGGAGGAGACGCTTGGACAGGGTGCTATGGAGGAGATTAATCCAGATCCTTTCACTGCTCCTTAATTAGAGGAAGGTATTCACAGCTGGGACACCCTGCCTGCTGAGGACAGTGACAGGGTGACAGTGCTGTGGTGACAGTGTTAAGTGACAGTGTAAGAAGTTCTCTGGGGATGCACTGTGACCCCTCTTGCTCACCTTGGACCACTTGACGCTGAGGACATGGACTTCATGGCCAGTAGCCATGGAACTGTTGCTGACACAGCCCCGCGGCACCGTGCTGGTGGCATAGGAGAGGGTGATGGGTGGCTTCGCTGTCACCGGCTGCAGGTCACAGCCCTCGGCTCTCCCGGGGTCTGGGCGGAAAACAAGAGACTGTCAGTCCCCGCCGCACGGATGTGGGGTCACACAACACGGAGGGACATGATGGAGGAGGGAGCTGAATGTCCCTGCCAGCGCCGGCACTGCCCCTTCAGCCTCAGCCCCCAACCTGGCGTCAGCACCGCCGGCTCAGCACCCCCGGGACCATCTGCTACGTGTTCGCTCGGGGCCCGTCCGCCACCGCCAGCCCCCTCCGCAATCACGTTAATGACCTTTGGATCCGGGCTGGAAAAATCCACGGTCCCCGCTCGGCACAGCCGCGTGCCAAAACTCGCACCCAGCCGCCCCGGAGGCCGGGGCGGTGGCGGAAGCCCCCCCGCATTCCCCCGGCGCAGGAAAGTGGGAAGCGCAGGTATGGAAATGGCTGTAAAGCTCATCCTCCGCGGGCGCTCAGGCGTGAGCTTTGCCCCATCCCAAAGCCCCCGGCGGCGCGCGGCGAGCGGGACCGGCCGGCGGCTGCCAAGGGAAATCCTGAGCGCAAACAGCCATTTGAAGGCCTGATCCTGTAAATCCCCACGTGCCTCGATAGTTTCCTTTGCCTCAGCAGCCCTGCTGTGGCCGGGCTGTCCTCAGCTTGGCCCCGAGGAATCGTCGGCATCCATGGGTGCTCCCTTCCAGGGGGCTGGGCAGGACGGACCCCCGTGGCCACAGCTGGGGGACTTTCTATGGGGAGACAGTGCCTGGGATGCTGTGTTTTCTTTGGGGGTGGCCACTGAGCTCTTTCCCTTCCCACTCCAACTTTTCCCATCACTGGTGGCTCCGGCCAACGCACCGGGAGGTGGCTGGACCGCACTCCAGGTCCACCCCGCCACCCGCACGGGGACTGGGGCTAGAGGATGCGATGCTCCAGGTCACTGAGTTTTTGGGACGCAGCACCCGGCAAAGGGCCACTCGTTCCAAGCCGTGCCCATCACGGTGTCCCTGACCCGCGTCTCACCCATGGGGTGGCCCGGCTGTGGCGGCGGGGTCACGGCACAGACCCCCGGTGACGCTGCCATGGGCCCACTCATTGTCCGGCGCTTCCTCCCCCCAGCGTGGCGGCCGCGCGGCCGGCAGCATCGGGAGGAAGATAAACAGCCGCTTATCTGGGCGCCACAGGCTGTGTCCCTCTTCCCTTCCACTCCTGCCCTGACGGCACCGGGCACGGCCGCGCAGCCCCGGCACGGCTGGGCAGAGGACGGGCAGCTCGCCGCTCCTCGGGCAGCATCCTGCCGGCAGGTCGGGCAGGGCCGGGGGCCGCGGCTGGGCTCGCCCCTGGCAGGACAGGGATGCCAGAGCAGGGGATGCGGGGCAGCGGTGCCAGTCGGGCACTGTCTGTCCCTGGGGAAGGCAGCGGGCTCCAGCATTATGTCAGGATCAGATAAGGGGGCTCAGCTGGGCCGCCGGGGCGATCAGATAAGGGCACTGTTATTTTTGTACTCCAGGAAAGGGAAAAAAAATTTAAAAGGAAGAAAGAAAGAAAATCTACTTTATGTTTTTCCAACCCGCACTCTCCCTTGCTTTGGTGCTGCTGAGATCAGGGAACAGGGATGGTCCCGCTGTGGCTCCCCCATGGGTCAGGGGCTGCAGGGGCAATTCCTGGGGTTTTGGGAGCAGATGAAAGACCTGGGCAGAGAGCAATGCTGGGGTGTGGGGTGCAGGGCAAGGGTGGCTCTGGCAATGCAGGATGCCCATGGATGGGCAGCTCCACTTTGGCATCCTTGCATCTGGCCGTGTTGCCTCAGCACTTGTGTAATGAGCTGATCCAGGTCAGGAATGGAGCTGGATCCTTCACTGAGAGGGAATCTTCATCCCCTGAGCCACTGCTGGCTGTTGGACCATGCTGAGGTGGGCATTGTGGGTCAGATAATGGGGTGGATAGGTCCAGGCTTCTGGCCTGACACAAGCCACATCATTCCTGCCACTCTCTAAGTCAGACAGGCGCCAAGAAGCCTCTCCTCAGAGATGGCAGGGGTGACCCAGCACCATGCTCACCCCATGGGGAGCAGCGCTGGCCCCTGCCGAGGGAGTACAAAGTCCCCCACCTCTGGAAGCTGGCTGTGTCTGTGAGACACCCTGACACTGCACCCATTAAGAGCACTCTAGTCCTACATCACTGCACCCATCACGGACATTCCAATCCCACAGCACTGCTACCACTGAGGGCACCCCTGTCCCACATCACTGCACCCACCATGGACACCCCAGTTCCATGGCACTGCACCCGCTCTGGGCACTCCCAGCCGCAGAGATTCCCGTGAGAAAGAAGCAGCAACTGGACAGGACGTGGTAAATAGCACAGGTAGGCAGGATAGGGACCATATGTCACAGCTACGCAGGACATGGACCATATAGCACAGACACTCAGGATGGGGACTCAGTATGGCATAACTACATAGGACAGTGATGATATGGCACAGTCATATAGGATGGGGTCCATACAGCACAGCTGCGTAGGTTAGGGGTTGTATGGCCAAAGGAGATGGTCTGTTTATATGGCAGAGTGACACAGGACAGGGACCATACAGACACATACAATAGGGACCATATAGCTCCATTACAGAGCACAGGGACTGTGTGCCACAGCTACGTAGGATGGGGATCATATAGCACAGATAAATATGACCGGGACCCTAGGAACAGACACTCGGGGTGGGGACTGTATGGCACAGCTATGTAGGACTCAGTCTATATAGCACAGCCCTGTTAGAGCATGTATGGCACAGCCATATAGGGTGGAGGCTGTTGCGTCAAATACAAAGCTCATGGACATATGGCACTACTACATAGAACACAGATGACATTGCACAGCTGTGTAGGACGGGGACCAGATGGCACAGCTGTGTGATACAGCGACTGTACATCACAGACAGGGAGGACAAGGGCTCTGTGGCACAATGACACAGGATAGGGAACATATGGCACGGTTATAGGATGGGGACTGTACAAGAAAGCTATAGACACAGACATTACTGCACATCTACATAGGAGAGGGACACCACAGCACTGCCACAGGGCAGGGACTGTGGCACAGCTATAGGATGGGCACCGAGCCTCACAATTATACATGACACAGGACTTACTGTACATCTACAAGGATGGAAACTGTATGGCACAACTACAGGGGACATGGCCCACATGGCAGGGACTGTCTGGCAGAGCCTCCACACGGGGTTGTGATGTAAGAGTGGACGTCAAGTCTGGCAGTGGGGCCACCCCAGCACCACCCATGAACACTGGTCCCCGAGGTGACCAGGAGGGACCAACCCAGACAGGACGCTCAGTGCCGCTGGCCCCAGGCTCTCTGGGCGGCTGCTGCCATCCCAGTTCCCTTCCCCTCTGCCAGCGGGCTATGTCCCCGAGTCCCCCAGCTCCCTGCCCCCCAACTCCATCAGCACTCCATCAGCGTCCCTTCTTGAAATTCCCCCTGTGGCTTTGCAGAGATCTTGGGGTGGCTCCGACTGCTTTAGAAGTGTTTTAGCCCCCAACTCCCATGTGAGGTTTTAAGGATTTTTTCCCCATTTCTCACCCCTGTCTCCAGCCCCACATCCCATGTGAGGCTGTATGGATTTTTTCCCATTTCTTTCCCCCAGCTCCAGCCCCGCATCCCATGACTTTAAGGGCTTTTTCCCATTTCTCGTCCCCATCTCCTGGTCAACCCCTCCATGCTCTGTGGTGACGGGAAGCCACCAAAGCCACCCCAGACCCTCCGTTTGCTATCGTCTTGGCCAGGACTCAGCCACGGCGTCTTCAACACCTCCCGCGCCCCAGTGACGCAGCCGGGATTTGGGGGGTCCCAGGGAGCGGCAGGGCTGTGCTGTGTGTGTTCCAGGAATCGGGGCGGGTTTGTCCCTTCCCACATCCAAGCTGCTCCCCAAAACCTCCTCTCCCGCGGGTTTCCCAGGGGGTGACAATCACTGCCTATGCGGGCACAGCCGAGACCCCTTTGGCCACCGATCCGGAGTCACCGGTGGATCCCGCCGCGGCGGCTGTCCCGTCTCAGGGCTCCCGTCCCGCTGTCCCGTCCCGGGGCACCCGTCCTACTGTCCCATCCCGCGAGTCTCATTCCCAGGGATGGTGCCCCTCGTCCCCACTCACCCGGGCGGCCGAGCAGCGCCAGGAGCAGCGGCAGGAGCGGGACGGAGCGGGGGCCCATGTCCGCCTGCGGCCGCTCCCCGGGAGCCAGCGCCGAGTGCGGGCGGCGGCAGCGGCAGGAAACCGACTCCCTTCGGAGGAGGGTCCGCGGCGGAGGAAATGCCGCTGGCGGCGCTGGGGCCGGGCCGGCGGGACCGGGGGGGCGGAGAGGATGGACCCCCCTCCCCCGGAGGCGCCGTGCCTCAGTTTCCCTACAGCTCCGTGAGGGAGGGGCGCACTGGAAGCGCCCCGGGATGGGGGAGGGCACCGGTACCCGGGGTAGGTGCCCCCAGGGACTCCCAGGGCTGGCACCAGTGAGTGGAGGGGTTGGACACAGGGGTTCTGGTGGGGTCACCACCCAAGTTATTCCCAAGCTGCCCCCAGTGATGGGAATGGAGGGCTGCCCCCGACATTCAGCCAACACTGCTCCCAGCCAGCACCCTAACAGGGTCACATGTTTCAGGCTGGTGGCGGCCCCATGGCCCTGGACGTCCACTCTGGTGGGCAGGTAGAAGCCCCCGAGCACTACTGCCTGCCTTGCCTACAGCCCTACTGGCAGGTGGGCTTAGGGTCAGGAAAGCCCTTGGGACACGGGGGCCTGGGTGAGGGAGTCACGGGCAAAGGGGTCACAGCTGAACACCGCCAAAGAGGGAGCCATGAGGTGGCTGGGGACATCCAGGGACCCCCTTCTGCCCCATTCCTCCCCACACTTCTCTGCTGGCCGAGGTGAGAGCCCTCACACAGCTCTCAGTGGGGCTGGGACCCTCACGCTGGGGGTGAGCGCAGGTCCCCGGGCGTGGTTTTTATCTCGACTCATGGCGATAGAATAGAAACGTGCCAGGGAAGTCAGTGACGCCTGTCCCCAGCAAGCCAGGATGTCCCCGGAGATACCTGTGACCCGGGGTGACCAGCAACCATCTCCCATGACAGAGCACTGCCATCTCCTGGGGACCGCGGGCACGGGTGCTCACCCGGGGATGGAGACAGCGGTGGGGACCGGGACCCGGCACAGGATCCTCTGGCTCCCTCACCCCTCTCCCCACGGCGACACCGTAGGACAACTCCCAAGAAGCTCTCGGTGATGGACTCTGGGATGGTGGCAGCCACAGTGTGACAGAAGGATGTTGGCCATGGCTGTGGGGTGGCCACATGTGCAGCCCCTTGCACCCCAATTGGGCCCAGCATCTTCCCCCCTCACAGCATATGGGATGGCCTTGAAATTTCAAACCAGAGAAAAGCACCTAAACCCCAAGACCAAGCACTCACTGGGGAGCAGGGCAGGCTCCCTGTCCCACTCCCTGCCCAGGTCACCACCTGGAGAAACTGAGGCACACTCACAGCACACCCACAGAGGGCTGGAGGCACAAGACAGACGGGTGTCCCACTCCCCCGCTTTAGGACATGGTGTCCCAAACCACACGACCCCTCTGTCCCTCGTCTCCACCAGCACGAGGCAGGCACTCGCCGGCCCCAGCCCCGGATCGTTGTCCTGGCAGTGTCCCAGCCCCGGCCGGATGGCTGCATCCTTCCTGCCCGCCAGCCTCCCCGCAGTGCCCCGGGCTCTGCCCGTGGCTCGTGGCCCCCGAGCACGGGGTTGACGTCGGGCTGACTGATGAGTTTGGGTTTTCATCTTGGGGAGTTTTGTTTTTTCCCTGCTGGCTTCCTTTCTCCTCTCTGACTCCTTGGCCTCGTGGCCTTGGCTGACCCCAGTGCTGCCGCCCCTCCTGCCCTCCCAGCCCCCTGGCTCTGTGCCCAGCTCCCAGCAGCCCAAAAGTAAGTGGTGGGGGGCCCTATTGGGGTTGCAGCTCTGCTACCTCCTGCCCTCCCTGTGGCTGGGTAAACCCTGTCCCCAAGCCCCACCGCAGCCCCCCTGCTATGGCACTGTGCCTGTGTGGCTCTGTGGGTGCCGGGGAGCCACCCCCACCTCTCCTGTCCCCCACACCAGCACCCCCAACTGCCTGTCTGTTGGGGTCCTGTGACTCACCACCATGAGGGGACCCACCCAGTCCCCCAGCCATGAGGACACCCAGCCTGGTGGCTGGGCTCCTCTGGGTTTCCCCAGCACATTCCTTATTCCCTGGGGTCAGGGCTGAGCAAGGAGTGTCCGGGCAGTGAATGAGTGTCCAGGCACAGCAGGACAGGGAGCACCCCACTCCAGGGCATTGTGCCACCACAAACCATCAGTGCAGCCACTAAGTACCCCAAAAATCCCTGACAGCCAACAGAAACAAGGAAATACCAAGGCATGAAAGTGGTGGAAATCCCCATCCCAAATCCGGTCGCCTCTAGTCCCTGGCAGCCAGTGGGAGAGCTGAGAGGAAGGGACGCATGTGCGGGACACGATTCTGATGCTGCCTGTGTGTCCAGACACACACTCACAACACGAGGGACGGAATGAGGGCGACCAGGACTGGCTGGAGGATGCAGGCACAGCCTCCCTGCAGGCCACGGATTGGGAAGCCGGGGCGAGAGGCTGGGATGCTCCCTCCCTTCCTCTGAGCACAGCATCTCGCTGCCCCGGTGGGATAAACACCCGCTTCCTGCCCTTAATCAGCTCCAGAGGGGCTGGTGGGGGGAGACGGGGAGAAAAAAAAAAAAAACAACAACTCCTCTGGAAAGAAAAACTCATTTCCTGCGACAGAAGAAAAAGATAAAGTCTGGATTCATTAAAGTGAACTTTACTGGGGAGAGACGGGAAAGAGCCAAACACAATGTCCTTGAAATTTCCTCCGCACGGCTCCGTCCATGAAAACAGGATAAAGCCGCTTCCGCTGTCTCTGCTGGAGTGCACTGGGGGGAACTGGGGCCGGGGACTCGGTTACAGGCAGTCGAGGTGGGTGCAGACCTGCTGGAAAACCTCGTCCACGGAGCCCTCGGCGTTGAGCTGGGTACAGTGGGGTTAGCTGGGGACTCCCCAAGGGCTCTCGTCTGAGAGCAACTGGAGCTCTTCCAAGGATGCATTTTGGCCATGGGTGAAGAGGCCACGGCTCATTTAGGGCAAAGGGGTGCGGGCCATCCTTGGAGGGGGGTGTGTTGGGAATGAGAGGGGACAGGCCCACCCCAAACTAGGCAGGATTGAGTTTTCCTGTTTCCCTCATCATCCCCGTCCATCACTTCCCCTCCCCTGGGACACAAGCCCCAAGCAGCGAGGCTGAAGGGTGCTGGCATCAGCCACACTCCTGCTTACCTGGCGGACAATGCCTCTGCTCTTGTAGAAGGCAATGACAGGCTCAGTGGCCTTGTAGTAGGTCTCCAAACGCTTCTTGATGGTCTCCTCATTGTCATCCACCCTCCCGCTGGTCTCGCCTCGCTTCAGCAGGCGTTTCACCATCGTGTCCTTCCCCGCATCCACGTAGAGCAGCAGCGTGGGGGGAGCAATCTGTGGGCAGAGGGTCATGGTCGTCACCACACTGAGTTGGTGTGGGTCTGGTTTGGTTTGGGCAGGTGGTGAGGGTCAGCATGAGGGTCACAGATGTCCTCACACCACCCTCTGCCTCCCTTCACATGGGTCTGGGGGCTACCAGGACATAGAGGTGTCCCCACACCATCTTCTGCCTCCCTTTGCTTTGGTCTGGGAGCCACCAGAACACTGTTCCAGTGGCCTCTAGGGCCATGTAGAGGGAGGCAAAGGGGCACTGTGGCCAAGCCCTGGCTCTCTGCCATCACCATCATGTCAGTGCTGTTGTCACGCTCTGTCAGCCTGAGGACACCCTGGTCCCTCCCACTGTGCTCTGGGCACAGGCTGTCCCTGAGGCAGGGGAACCTGCTGCTCAGTTTAGAGCCTTCTGGGATGTGATCTCTGCTGGGATGGGGAGGCCAGGCTGCTGCTGGATTGAGTCCCTGTGCTAAGCTGGTGTGTGGCACAGCACAGCATAGCATGGCATGGCACCAGTCCTCACCTTCTTTTCAAACTCCTCTCCCTGCTTCACCTCACGGGGGTACCCGTCGATCAGGAAGCCCTTGGACACGTCTGCTTTGGCCACCATGGCGTCCCGCAGCATGTCCAGCACCGTGTCCTGCAGGGGGAGGACAGAGCTGCTACAGCTGATTTGGGACATGACTCCCACCCAGCATCCCCAATCCCTGCTGCAAACCCCACCCTGGGATGGCAGGGCCAGAGATGCCTGAGCCATGTGCCAACCACTACCACTACCCCACTGACACCCCACCATGTGGCAGCTGGTGGCTGGTGAGGACTTACCAGGGGCACCAGCTCTCCCTTCTCCATGATGGCCTGCAGCTTCTTGCCCCGCTCCGAGCCCGAGCTGACCTCAGCCCGCAGCAGGTCCCCCGTGGAGAGGTGGGTGTAGCCATACTTCTGCACAATCTTCTCACACTGTGTCCCTTTCCCTGAGCCAGGGCCACCTGCAAGGCACATGTGTGCCCCATGGGTAAGGAGAGGGAGGGGTACATGGGAAGAGCAGCACAGACATGAAGGAGTCCTCAGAGCTCAGTGACATGTCAGTTGGTGTCCCGAAGCCCTGCACCAAGGGGATGGACAGAGCTCCTCCTGAGGATGCCCAGGTGCTTGAGGGAGTCATGGGCTGCTGGAAATTGACACTCTGATAGCACTCAGGGCATCATCACTCAGGGCATCATCACCCAGGTTTTGTCACATTACCTTCCAGGGGTTTGTTGTCACATCAACCCCTACTGGTTTACTGTCACATCGCCCCAGATGCTGCCACCCCATGCCTGGCCAGAGGTGGCCTCCTGGTCCCAGCATACCCCATATAGCCTCTAGGAGGCCATCCCACAGTGCTTGGAAATAGCCCAGTCAGCCTCCAGCCTTGTTTCCCCAGCCTAGAGACACGGGGAAAAGGCCTGAGCTGACCCCTACCAGTGACAGGACCCAGACACAGACTTACCCACCACGAAGATGATTTTGTGCTGCTTGAGCTTTTCTGGAAGAGAGAAAGGGAAAAAAAATTATCAAAAGCCAAAAGGTCCATCGGGGAGTGAGGTGTCCCCAGGGGGTGCCAGATCCAGGCAGGCATTCCTGGGGATAGAGGGGCCCGATCC